ATTATTTGATGCTTCAAGAACATATGCACTGACTGTCAGTTTATCAACTTATGAATTCATAATTTCCTAAGAAAATAATGACATTTTTATAAATATCGAAGACAAACATAATATTTGTAATGCCTGAAACAACTTTTAACGCTTTCACCCCTATGTAACTTTAGTAGACTCTACCATGAATTGATCTGGATGCATTCATTATGGTCTACAGTGGTAAAAGGGTTAATGTTGAACTCTAATGAAGTTATCTTTCAAGTGTAAAGTCCAAAAACTTTTTAAATCTGCATATACTTAATAACAATACATGTATCAAGAACATCATTATAATAATGATCCTGATGTTTTTTCTAGAGTAGAGAAAACAATTACGGTCTGAACAATGAAAGTGTTATTTGAACTTTGACTTCAACGTGTAACCCAAATATATCTCGATTGGCAAACCACTTAAAAATGGTACATAATGTACATGCAAGGTTGAACTTTCTTTAAAATATTTTCATTAATTAAAATTTTCAACTTTGACCCCAAACTGTGACCTTGACCTTGAAGTGGGCTAAGGTGTCGAAAATATCCCTTTGCAAAAAACTGTCAAAGGACAAACTATGCTATACTATATTTCTAAAAGACTTGAGTATAAAATCTAGAATATGGACAGTAAATGAGAAAACCCAAAACCAAATATATATTAAAGTACAATTTCAATAGTACAAGCAAACTTGTATGTGACATTTCCAAGGTATATGTAACTATAGTGATTGAGTGTACTACTGTTTGGCTGGGAAACTGAACCTTTCAGGCCAATACAAAACTCACTGACTATGCATTTCTAGTACACCATGTCCTTTAATTCTACATAAATCACAGTTTACTTGTTTGACACAACTTGATGACGTCTAACACAATTGATGTTAATTGGACAGCTTCTGATGAAATCACAAGGTACCCTGTACAGATCACAAGATCACAAACTGAAGTATGCCAAGTTAATTTAGATTTTTCAATGGGTAAAGGTAGATGGATAAGGGAGAAAATGATCTGTCTTTCTGTCTCAAGACCAGGTAGAACATAAAGTAGGTTTGCTAATAGATGGATGCTGACGGAGGTTTGTCTGAAATCTAGCCCCGTCCCAGACAGATCATATTGTGGACCTCCATAGGAGATTACCACTACAATGACCGTCAAACCCTACCAGACACAGCTTAATTATTAAGTCTGAGAAAATGTTTCTGTGTGAAAAATTTACACTTTAATTCAGGGTTGGTATGTCTAAAGATTGTCAATTCACAAATCCCCTTTTTATAAGTGCTCACAGGTCTACGATAGTTAAGGAATCTACACATGAGACAATTTCTCAATGACATGAAAAACCCCATCTACAGCAATTTTGGAACAAGGGCTGAAACTGCAATTTTCCCCCCAATAACCATAAGTGTATTTTTCACAAAATTCTGCATTACATGTAGACATTGGAATTTAATTTTCGGACTTCAATATTTTTTTTAAACCAAATTCATTGTCCTTTTTCATTTTATTTTCAACAAGAGACCCATGGGCCTTAATTTAACCGTCACCCGAGTCCTACAGTATTTATTTTTTGTTGAAATATGAAGTGGAGATAAATAGAATCTTCCCCTGCCTTGAGGGTGTGACAGAGAAATCTCCAACCCGAGGGGTGGTGTTTTTTGGTTGTCTAACCCGAGCCTCTGCCGAGGGTAAGACAACCAAAAAAATCACCCAGAGGGATGGAGATTTCTCTGTTACACCCTTAAGGTAGGGGATGATTATTTTTCTCCCATCCTATTACTTCAGTCATAGCTCCACGGACAGTAGTCAGCCATGTTTGTAAACAAAAACACATGTGGGATATGCATATCGTCATTCACTTTTGATAACGTCACAAGTACCGATGATACATTTTAATGACGTCACAATTGAACACTTGCTAATGGATACAAGGCTAGCTTTCTCCCCCTTAAGGGGGTGACAAGCTGATCTTTCCAGGCTAAAACAGGAGACACACCTGTGAAGGGTGGGAGAAAATGATGTCAATCATCCCTACCAATTTGAGTAAAAAATAGTTATGTATAACGTTAAGTTAAGTTTGTCAGGACCAGGAGTTGATCATTCCTAGACCGATTTTAAGTTAAATCGGCCTATAAGAACTTGATTTTAAGTTTAAAATAATATTTTTTCAAAATGGCAAGTGTCAGCCAAATTAGATTTTTCATCGGCCCGAAAAAAACACCCACTTTGCCATGACCATGAGTCATTCATTCCTACCGTTTCAGTTTGATTGGCCCACTAGAACTGGACTTTAAGTTTGAAATAGATATTTTCAAAATGGTGGCCGTGGCAGCCATATTGGATTTCTGTTCGACCCAAAAAATAACAACACTTGTTCAGGGAAATGTCAGTAACATTCCCATGAAGACGGATAGCAATAGGTCACTTGAGCTAAAGCTCAGGTGACCTTACAAAAAATTCAAGCGGTTTATCAGATATATCATAGGCCTACTACACCCAATTGTACTGTCGCCTATATTTCCCAAAATGTTATTTTTGCGCTAATAAATCACAAATATTTATTTGGAAACTTTTAAGCAAGGAGAATTTAGCAGCCATTGTTCCATTAATAAATTCAAATTCTTGTGTATAAGCCATTGGAAGCTCAATTAAATGATATAAAGCATTTTCACTGTAGTATGCAAATGCTTGCATAACATTTTTTCTCATCTTTATTTTCTCTTTTGTCTTTTCTTGTTTAAATCTTTCTTGACAACAAATATACACTAAAATGCTGAAATCAAAGTTTCTACCATTACAACATTAACATTCAGATTTAACTTCAAACTATGATTTTTAAAAGGCAAAACCTAGTATCAATACAATTAGACAAGGACAATTAGCATTTACTTTTTATAACCAACAAAGTTAATATACTTTCTGGTTAAAGGTCATTTCAATATAATACCAATATATTCTAAATCTATCATGGCTAACAGAGTAATCAATAAGGATCGAACACTGCATACCTAGCTGGGCAGCCCACCATCGGAGGTCAGACTCAAATCACACGGAAAATGGACTTCATACATGCAGACATTCTATAAAAGAATGTGTTTATAATTGATACACCTCATTTCAACTTATCAACAATCAATTCTTATGTTTTATTGATCACATATTGCTGCTATATACAGTGTACGGTTAACAAACAGTGAACCAGCCTAACACAGACAATAAACCAGGGAAAAGCATACCAAACATGGCCCTCATAAACAAATGAATGAGGCTCACCTAAACACTGAACCAGGGTAACAGACAAAGTAGTAGGCTCACATAAACACTGAACCAGGGTAACAGACAAAGTACTAGGCTCACCTAAACACTGAACCAGGGTAACAGACAAAGTAATAGGCTCACCTAAACACTGAACCAGGGTAACAGACAAAGTACTAGGCTCACATAAACAATGAACCAGGGTAACAAACAAAGTACTAGGCTCACATTAACACTGAACCAGGGTAACAGACAAAGTACTAGGCTCACATAAACAATGAACCAGGGTAACAAACAAAGTACTAGGCTCACATAAACACTGAACCAGGATAACAGACAAAGTACTAAGCTCACATAAACACTGAACCAGGGTAACAGACAAAGTATTAGGTTCACATAAACAATGAACCAGAGTAACAGACAAAGTACTAGGCTCACATAAACACTGAACCAGGGTAACAGACAAAGTATTAGGCTCACATAAACACTGAACCAGGGTAACAGACATAGTACTAGGTTCACATAAACAATGAACCAGAGTAACAGACAAAGTACTAGGCTCACATAAACACTGAACCAGGGTAACAGACAAAGTACTAGGCTCACATAAACACTGAACCAGGGTAACAGACAAAGTACTAGGCTCACATAAACAATGAACCAGGGTAACAGACAAAGTACTAGGCTCACATAAACACTGAACCAGGGTAACAGACAAAGTACTAGGCTCACATAAACACTGAACCAGGGAAACAGATAAAGTACTAGGCTCACATAAACACTGAACAAGGGTAACAGACAAAGTATTAGGCTCACATAAACAATGAACTAGGGTAACAGACAAAGTATCAGGCTCACACATACACTGAACCAGGGTAACAGACAATATACCAGGCTCACACATACACTGAACCAGGGTAACAGACAATATACCAGGTTCACATAAACACTGAACCACTGAACCAGGGTAGCAGACAATATGCCAGGCTCACATAAAATTGCAATGTACCAGGTTCACACATATACTGAACCAGGGGAAGAGACAAAGTACCAGGCTCACATACACTGAACCAGGGTATACGTAACAGACAATGTTATAGGCTAATATAAACACTGAACCAGGTTAAAACACATTGTACCAGGCTCACATATTCACTGAACCACTGAGGGTGTTACAGAAACTGTATCATGATTAGATACAGATGCAAGGTCACACAATAAACAAGGCTTTGACTCAGCATCTGAATAAATCAAAAACATGTACTGAGATGGAAAATACCAAAAGTGTAATACCCAAAACAGGATACAGCTGAACGAGAGAAATGTTCATCCATAAAACATATAATTTGACAAATGAGAACAGGATAACATTGTCAGAAGTCATTGGGTTTCTGTGTCATAAAAAGCATGTGAATCACAGATGCTGTGGAGTACATGTTGATGCATCAGCCCAGACAGGCATGCTAACCATTCTCCCTTGAGGAAACACTCAGGAGTCAATTAAGACCTTATCACTGGAGTAATTACTTCCATCAGAGTGGGCAGGACCTATGACTGGGGGGAACCTGCCAGTCCAACTGGGCAGTGGTCAGCCATAAGTGTCACTTTAACACTGACCACTGACAGAGCTGGTGGTAATCCTTCACACCCAGTGACCACTGACCAGAACGACACTATAAGGGGACCAGGCTAGATGGAGTGCTCCTGATCAAAACTGCCATAGGGGATCACACCATAGGTGTGTACAGATCATACATCTCTGGACCCCAAACAACCTGGTCTGACTTACAGATTTATCAACACTTTTAATTCCCGCCCATTAAAACAGCATCAAATTCATCGGTTTGTCAGTTGAGAACTCTCCAAGGGAACACATGTATGTATGCAGTGTCGATCATTCCTAGTGTTTGATAGTCACCACAGCAAAAAGGAACTGAAGGCCTTTGGAGATAAACCTGTGTGTTGACAATAGGGAGATCGTGTATCAGACAGAGCTCGTGTCTATGAGCAACAGGTAAAAAGCCTGATAACATTTGGAACCACACACTACACATACACTGTGTATGGACATCTTGTATCAGTGACGGACCTGTCATACACTGTAATACCTCTACAGACTTTTTCAGTCAAACATTTTATTGACCTTCTGGACCTTTTTCAGAACCAGAACAGTGAAACCCTGACTTACAAGGACAGTAAACAAGAATCACTGAGAACCTGTGCCAAGAAGTAAACCTTGTGATGTAGAAACCGAACCAGGTGAACTATGAACCAGAACCAGTAAACCAGTAAACCATTTAAATTGTACTATAAATGGTGAGCAGACTCATACTACGTAACACTACACATCCTCTCACATCGGGACATGAAGCTGTGAGTGTCTTCCCCATTATACATGGGACTTAACCAGACTTGTAATACCCCCACCCCAGGGGATATATAACCTTTAGGGGGTCAGCATTAATCCATGTGAAAGACAAAAAGCCCTAGAGACCTGTCACTACATTCCTGGTGTTGACAGGGGGACACCTGATATCATCTCCCACCGCCACCACCATAATTACTTTGTCCCATGGAGCTTATAAATATATACCAGTGCAGGAAGTGTTTCCAGTAGTCAGGACCTACATCAGCCTGCAGTCAGGTCCTAGGTCTCTAGTCCCTGGAGGGCTCTCATCACACACAAGAGTGGGTGTACCCGTACTCACAACAATGCAGGGGAGCAGACTACTACAGTCCCTGCTTCTTTATTTCTTATGTGGATACTGTGTCCTATCGTCAACCAGTCATGGAATTCGGCACCGTCACAAACATGGCAGTCGGAAGGAGGATGGAGATGACACCAGACAACAAGTTCTCGGTTCTAGTTGTGATAACAGTTTTGACAGCCATTTAGAAAAGTGCATGGAGCCATTCTCAAGGAAGGCTCATATTTATACCACTACGCACCCTCAGAATCCCATTGTGAAGGAAATCTTTGTTAAACATGTGTGCAGGTATGTATCATATATAGATTACTTTATATGTTTGAGTTTTAGTGTTTTTCATATTCCACTGTGAAAAAATATCATTTTAGGAAGAAAAGTCAATGGCACTAGTTATCTGGAAGCAAATAATTGTCTTGAAAGTCACTCTACATTAGGAAGATTTTTTTTTTTTTAAGTTTTCTTCTTATATAATTTCACAACTTCAGATATTCAGATATCAGCATTTTTAGTGGTCTGGCCTATCTTAATACTAAACATTGAAAAACCGATCTGTTTCCTTTTTTCGGAGTATCCTAATATAATTAATTTATAAGATAACCCATTTTTATGTGATTTATATAACAACTGATATTCTGATGGTATATATGTGTTACCTGAATAAACAATAGTGTTTACAAATTACACTAAACAAGACAACAGGTAGGTGTAAATGTCACCTAGCTGCAGTACATTATAGGTAAATACAATTACAGGTAGGAAACATTTTGTAATGTCTATACCTGTTCATTAACTCCATTTTTTTTAAAAATATGTTTTAAAAAAATGCATCAAGAAAGGACATGCACCTGCAATGTTTCCAACCAGTACTCTATTTAATAGTTCACTTTTGTCAGTTTTGTTTCTGTCTTAAATCATTTCTACATTTGCCAGACAGTTTGGCACACTCAAGGACCATTAAAATCTTAATACCTTCTTTGCGCATTTTTTTATCAACATTTTCACCATGTTGGCTATCCTTTATAAGCTGAAGTCTGACTGATTAATATCATTTATATTTTCGAACAAACTGATCTGGTACTTTTTCTTTTTAAGCAAAACAGAATACTTTTATTCCAAGCAATAGTGCTATATATTTTTTTATTCCTTTCATATAAAATAAATGAGAAAATGTGTGTATCAGTATGCATGTAGTCTTTTTTTCTACCAGACTTATTGGTTTATTTCCTCTGCCAATTTGGCGTAACCGTAACAAAACTTGACAGAGTGTGTCAAGCACCTGTACCAACTGTTTACCAATTACTACACATCTATTCTTGATTGGTTCGTCAGCAGCCAGTGTTTGTATTTTTAATTGTCTGACGAAGTGTTCCTGCTACAGTCTACTATGTAATAGGCGTATTCCGGGGAGATTACCTCATAGACAGTAAACGGCATTCAGGTGTTAATTGATGAATATTTAATGAATCTATAATTAGAAATGAGGAAATGTCTTCAATACCAGTCCTGACAATCAATACCTTGGTGATCATATGGCCACTGGCTTAAAGCCATCTGCTGTTCCCATGTCCTGGAGAAGTGGAAATTATCGTTGCATACAACAGATAGTTATTTATATCGATGATAAGGATAATAGTAAACATAGTTGCTATAAAGAATAAATTTACCTAACAATATTGGGAGAATAAAAGTGGTCTTTTGTATTAATATGATAATGTGACTTTGTGTGGGATGTTGAACGACCAATGAAGTAATCATTGATTAAGTGTCATCTATTTATTGTTCTTATCTAATACTGAAAAAAATAAATCAAATTCAATTAACATGCTAATTAATGCAATAATTTGAAGTGCCTTTAAACTTGTATGCAAAACACAATTAAATACTTAAAGAAAGCATTGTTAGCTTTAAAAGTTATCACCTCATTCACTTCTACAATTTTAAACTGGACTTGCCCTGTCATTGATTTGGTCAGGTTCAAATGTGACTTTAGGGGTGAATGGGATAAATGACATGACTAAAATGTCTAATTATTCACCTGTTAATCTTGTTACATTTCATATTTTTGTAGAACACAATAATATTTTCAAGATAAATATTGGCTTATAGGCCACATCTAGTTCATTTGTTTTCCTTTTCAACCCAAAATATGAACCATTTACTTTATCCAACATTTTAACTCATGGAGATTCTTCTAATCCATGGAACAGTTTTTGTATTAATTTTAACAAGTATGAAAATATTTGTGATCCATAGCTATTTCATGTTAGAATATTAACCAGGTTATTTGGATTTTGAAAATTTCCTATGGCCCAACCTATAATATCATACTAATCATTGCAAATTTTCACAAGTCCTGATGTCAAAATTTTATTTAAGTTCCAGGTGTGTTGCTCGTGGAATTGTACACCTGTTTCAATAATGGAGTAGATTGAATCAATGACATTGTAACAAGTGTTTTCTAATTGATTTACTAAAATACACTTACACTGTTAGAGCTATGACTAATTACAATGATGTCATGTAAGTGTGTCAGGTAATTTTACCTGACAAATCATGAATCATATTTGTGTGTCAGGTAATTTTACCTGACAAATCATGAATCATATTTGCTAACATTGTCATCCGTGCACGTGTAATGTTTTTGGCATTGTTGACTGTTCATTTTAATGTTGATTTTTTTTTGGGAGGGGGGGGGGGNTTGTTTTTTGTTTATCATTCCATGATCCATTCTCTGCTGTGGGGTATTGCTGTTATTGGGCTGGTTTATTACTATTGTAGTTTTCCAACAATATGTCAGACAGTAATGTACAGGTTTTATGTACCTTTGAAATGCATGTCAAGGGAAATTACTTGAATTTCTGAAATAACTTCCATTTTTTCTCTCTCTCTCTATTTCAGACGATACAAGAAGATGCTACACTGCATTCACCTGGTGCTAACAAACTGCCAGACAGTGACTAATATAGAGGTTGTCCAGCAAAAACTGGAACAAAGACTCTGGATAGTTGATGTGAATAAAATGTGCGACATCCAATCAGATCCCTCAACACGAAAGCATTCAGGTGGTACAAAGGGGAGTAACTCTAAACACAAAGTGATACCCTCCTCCGCGTCTCTACAACCAATCTCATCCGAAAGGGTTTCCCAATCTGTGACTCAATCAGAAATAGAATATTACAACATGAAAAGTCGCGATGCGGCTGATAAAATACCTCGCTTACAAAGCAATCACGGTAAAAACAGAGACAGTGAAGATAGCATTCCAAATATCATTCCAAAGCATGAAAGAGAACAATTTCAACAATTTGGCACTAAGCTGGTTCGGCCAGATCAGCTGACTAGACTGTCTAGCCAAAAAATACCTAGACTTGTTACATATATCAAATATAATGTGTTTCTAAACGGACAAAAGCAAGACTCTCAAGTGGAAGCAGATAAACTCCAATTAGCATCCACCGATACTAGTATTGATTCTATTTTAAAAGATGGACAACAGCCAGTGATGGTCCAGCTTTTGTACATTGACACAAACAGTGTAGATAGTGATGAAACATGGACATCATCAAAACAGTTTTCCTCGTTGAATGGCAGCCAGGGAGTCAGTGGAAGTTCCTCATTACTAAGCAATCCTGTTGTCGTTCTTTCCGTCATTTTAACTGTGATAGCCATACACAACACATAAACCTCATGCTAACTATTAAAATCATTGATATCGAGACTACAACTGTACATTAGAACATAGCTCTATTCATCCTCATTAAAACAGTGTCAGGGCCCTGATATTCAAACCATGAACAGCTTAAGAAATTGCTATTGCAACTTTTTGAAATGTAATTTTTGATAAATATTTTTAAAAATTTGCAAACATATTTGTGTTTGTTGTCATTAGAAAATTATTTCAAGCCCTTATATATTCAATTTTAGTTTTGAATTTCCATTTTTTTGAAAAATATTCTACTTTTAAAAGTTTAATTGTCGTTAAGATAACAAGACTTTGAGTAACAGGCTCAGGATTCATTGATAACAACTTTAAACCATTCACCCCTAAAGTCACATTTGAACCTTACCAAATCAAAGACTGGGCAAGTCCAGTTTAAATATGTAGGGGTGAATGAATTAATAATACTGATGTCTGCATCAGTATTTCTGTGTATAATCATGATCATGGCCATGGGCGACATAAATAAATTTTATAATAGATATCTACGTCAGTTGGAGTATTATTGTGTTTATATAGTATCAGTGAGGATATATTCTGAAATCCAGAAAATGCATTTTATGTTTTAATTAAGATAATTTGAAAGATTTATAATTGACTTTTTACCTTGATGTTGACATTACGTCTACCCGTCTTGTTTTTATGTCCTGAATGGTCTGAACTTTTTTCTGGTTGGTACATTACATTAGAACTAATCCAATCATTTGTTTCAATTTTTATTATCTTTATCAACTATACCTGACAAGTGCTTTTTTCAAATGAAGGTATCCAAAATGTTAAAAATAAAATTTCATTGTCTGAAATTGGTACAATTTATTATTATAATAACTTACACAGAAATGTTCGAACTATCTCAAACTTTGTGGTGAAGATAACTTCACAGACACATTCACACTTTAGAGTATCATAGATGCCTCATGTGTATTTATCAAAAACACAATTTCTGCAAACAATCGCAAAAATAATAGACCTTGACAACAATTTAAACAGCATTTTCAAATACCAGCTTACACCTGTTTATCATATAAAATACGTTTTGTTTATATTACTTGTCATTTTTGCCAGAAAACATGACAATAAACAAAACCTGACATTAAGAGATGATGTGAATTTTCTGACAATATTTTCATCCGTCAAATCCCTGTGTGACCTCTTAATTTTAAGTCCAATTCAAAGCAAATAACTAAAGTATTATTATCTAATACCAGCAGGCACAGAAGATTATTAAAATAACATGTTGTTTATTGGATGTGAATTATTTTACATCTATAAATTTCTCTTAAATATTTTTGATGAAAGTTCAAATGAATTGTAATAATGCAGATTTAATCTCAAAGCAAGTGACATTAATGAAATCACATTACATTGACGACATATATAATTGGAAACACACTGTTTCAAGAAAGTGTGATATTAAGATAAACATGACATTAAACAATGGATGTGATAATAAGTGGAAAGCATTGTATTTTGTATTGCTGCCTCAGAATTTATTACAAAACTGGAACTTAATAAGTGTCTTATGATATACATGTAATCTTGTTTAACATAATTAATGTTTACGTTAATACAACAAACTGTTATGATTCTGTACAAGTATGCACTTCTGTGAAATTGTATGTAGGACACATACTGAAACGGAAGTGAAACAGCGCCGCATTTCATGTTATAGAATTATCATTTTAAAATAAAAATGAATTTCATTCAATGGTTAAGTCTTTGTACTTTTTATGACTCTTTCCATGCTTAGGAAAGCTATGTACTACCATTTGTTGTGTTGACAGGATTCGATATGCCAGTTCTTTCTTCAATACCCATTATAGTGCAAGATAAAGTTCTGTAAAGTTAGACAGCTGCATGCTATATAATTTAAGCAGCTTTATGCTGTCCCGTGTAAGATGATTGAAATGTCCTATGAAAACAAATTTATATATCCCAAATAAGTGTAAATATCTTGTAAGTCTCATATGTTAAATAATGTAGATATCTCATTTTAGACAACTATTAATGTCTCATCTGTGGACGACCGGTAAAATCACAAGACCAAACTGCTCTCAACACAGAAGACATTGGTGAGTTTAATTAGTACATCACAAAACAAATTAAGGAACACATATTGCCAAGTTGAACAGGTCAAAGAGATCTAGCTAGGAGGAACCCATGTCACAAGAGGTGTCGAGATCTATGTCACTCGACTAGTAATGTAGTGGTGCTGAAGTTATAATGGATAGTTATGTGTTATCAGATCAAAATTCACATCTGATTATCCGAGCTATATTGATGATATACTGAAATAATTCAACATAAAGATGACTACTGTATAGAAAGAATCTTTCGCAGTCAAATTTTTGCTCTTCACTGACAGAATCTTTTTTTGTGTGTACTGATTTTCAAGGTTTAAGTAAATTCACACTCATTACAGAGGGGTTAAAAAAAGGGTGAAAGTTAGAATGCTGCGATAATTTAACAGTATAAAGTAGTCATCTGATTTGTACCGGATTTTCAACCTGAAAGGAATGTTGTCCCCAACCCCCCTTGAGTGGTATGCAGAAAGGGTTTGTTTCAATGTCTGTCATCAGCAAGATTTCTTGAACATTGGGGTTGGACAAAATACTATAAAGCAAACTTACCCTGGCTTCCATGATGTCAGGAATGGCGGGAAGGAAGTCTTGAGTGATACAGCGACAGAGGTCGCGCTCACACTTCACCTTGCTTTCCTTAAAAGTCTCTGCAAGGGCATCCCAGTCCTCATAGGTTGTACAGATAAGGTGCCACCTGGGGTTGACCTCAGGTAGAGGCAGGCCCAGAAAGGTCAAAGGTCGACTGTTGCTGTTTTCATTTGTATTACCCTTCAATTTAGTCTCCTCAGAATTGTTGTTGCTATTTTCTGTGTCCATTGGCACGTCCATGTTTTCATTCTTCAGCTCTTCCTTAACCTTATTTTCTTCTGCTGGTTCATCATCCTTTTTATCATCTTCATCTTTTATTTCAACGCCTCCGTCATGATTTTGTCTATGAAGGAGAGAAAAATAGAAAATGTAGTAAGAGTAATTGTATATTCTGTTCTATTTTTCTTTCAATTACTACAAGTACCTTTATAAGGCCGAGGGAAATAATATATGGATACATATATCAAAATAGTGTGATTCTCAAATATAGAACAATAAGAAACAGACAGTTTTAGTTATAAATTCTAAATGTTTTATTTTTTTCATAATGACTTATATCTCCTCAGCACATTCATAAGGTGGGCCAGGTTTGGGGAGCCTTGAATTCCCTCCTTGTACAAAAAACAGGCCCTCACAAGAGGCATTTTTTCTATTCTTTTACTGATTATATTTGCAAAGAAAAAACGTGTGATTTTTATCAAAATTTCCAAAACCATGTAAACCAGTGGAGGAAACTCATCTGCCAGTATTCACTCCCTCTAAATTCTAAATGTTAAGAAAGATTCAAAACTATTGGTACAAGTTACTTTTGTTAGAACCACTGATTTGCCACACAAGTAACAAAATGGCCATTGCCGAGACACCCCCTTATAAACAGGGAGAGATAATGTCACATTTTTTGCTGGTATATTGTAAACTGACTGTCACTATCAAGGCAAATTCCATGTCTGTCTATTGCCTGATGGGACAGGGTGTTACGGTCACTGATATATTTTAAGGTCGTCAATAGGAGAGACGGGACCGGGGACTACAGACTGCGGTGGACCAGCCTTGTCATGATCACTGTATCCAGGCAGAGAGTGCATACAGTGACTTATACATTGACTTTGCCAGTATTGGTGTATAGTTACCTGTGTGATTTCAGTATTAATATATATATCTGCTTTGTGTGATTCTTATGTTGCTGTTTATACTTACTTTGTGTGAGAGTCAGAAAGCACAGATTTATACTACTTATAAATAACAAAAACATAGTGTATATTTTGTAAATCAAATTGTGTGTAAATTGTAATCCAGTCTTAGTGTCATTCTACACCACACTTGCACTGTCACGCTCGTCCACAGTTACACAGGGGCAGTAGATTTGGTCTGTGGGCAAGTGAAAATGTATGTCTACTTGACAGACCAGTGCAAATGTTTTTATTAAACTGTTCTAACAGCATATTGCTGTATTACTTTACATCAAATACAAATAAACATTTGACAGGAAAAAGAGTGTAGTTTCTGTTGAAAAATCAAGATACTATCAAATCTTATTCCATGAAATGATCCTGTATGTATATGACAATTTTTTGGACCAGTTTATCTTGCCTATAGGCAAGTGATTTTTCAAATCCACTTTCCCAAAGAACAAGAGCTTTTGAAAAACATTTTTCTTACCCTTGCTATATATAGATATTCAGACCTCTGTGTATGTGGTCAGTCCGACTGTCAAAAGGTTGCATTGCTATACTTGTTAGTTCTTACCCTGGCTATATATAGATATTCAGATCTCTGTGTATGTGGTCAGTCCGACTGTCAAAAGGTTACATTGCTATACTTGTTAGTTCTTACCCTGGCTATATATAGATATTCAGACCTCTGTGTATGTGGTCAGTCCGACTGTCAAAAGGTTGCATTGCTATACTTGTTAGTTCTTCACCTGCTCTTTCATTTTTTAACTCCCTATTCTAGGTAATCACAAACATTTGAAACTATCAAGATTTGATTATATAAATAGTACAACAATATGAACTATTAATTTAATTTTTTATACCTCCACCTGATCAGACAGAAAACTGTAATTTGTGTTTCTTATAACTGTGATGTCGACCTTAGAATCCAAACAAACCATAAATATTTCAACTTAAGATGTAAGACATGCTATTTAGACAAATACAATATGAAGCGCAAATTAGAAGACTACATATTACAGGACACCCTGTTTGACACAAAGAAGTTCTATTACCTTTCTGGCTCGTCCTTGATATCTTGCTCTTCTGTTTTAAAATCACATTCATATTTTTCTTTTTCATTTTTAATACCCAGTCTATTTTCTTCTTCAACGTTCTCTCCTTGTTTAATTTCTTTCTTGGTTTCCTTTTCTATCTGATCATCTGTTTCTTTACTAATATTCATATCACTGATATCTTCTTCTCCCTTTTTAACATCGTCCTCCTCCTCATCTTCATCATTGTCATCTTCTTCATCTTCATCCTCCTCAAAAGTCTGCTCCTCAAGAGCCCTGAGGCGACTACTGACCCGAGTAGAAGTACGAGAAGATGTTCTTTGTGCTTGCTTTGTTTCCCTCTTCGATTTAGATTTAGCCGTCTTTGTGCTTTTTCTTCCGCGCTTTTTACCTTTCCCTTTTGCTTTTTTATCTTTTTTATCTTTTTCTTTCATCTTTTTTCTACCCCTAGAATTTAACAGAAACATGGATGTTGAACTAAGATACTTACAAACATATTTAAAGAGAGCTGGCCAGGACTAAGAGTCTAAACACAAAATTTGTCAGTGAAAAGTAGTGAATTGCTTGTTAAACAAATAGTACACATCATTTTTCTTTTTCAAGTATACAAGTAAATATTGTAAATAGAACACATTAATGATTACGTAAATATTTCAAAGGCACAACTGCCAAATAAATAATAATTTGTTTGATTTCGTAAATCTTCAAAGAATAAAACTGAAACCACTTTTCTTCATTTTTTCTGCAAATGATATGATACACAATTTGTGACAAGGATCCAAAGGTTGTCTCCCTTGTTTATGGTCAAACACAAAAAATATTTAACTCTAAAGACCTTGTTACACCCTAAAAGTATCCTAACAAATTTCTTCTCAAGTTCAGATAAAACCAAGAAATTCTGACAACATCATATGTTATTTTGTATAACAAAGATCAAAACTGACATTGATAGAAAAAAACAATGTCGGTAGATCATGAAGAGTGACCATGTCCTCGTCCCTTAAACATACTTTTGTTCCTTGACTGGTTCTTCAACAACTGGTTCTGCATCTTCCTTGTATAATCTACTGCCATAGAAATACCAGTAGGTGGCACCACAGCTGTCTTTACCAAGGGCCTCAACTCTCATGTTCTCTCCTTCAAATCCCTGCAACACATGCATCATATACAGTCAAATTTAGACAATAAAAGGGATTAAATCTCTTGCTGTCTATTTAAATCGGTTTCATAAAGAAATCATAGTAAACAGTGAAGTCTTAGGCAAAAAAAAAGTAGTAGTGTTTTTGCTTTAAGCTTTCAATTTAAAATCATAAGTCTGCCTAAAGGTAGAATAAAATTCATATTTTGCAATGGTTTTTTTACAAAACATATTAGAGGCAATTTTTTTATATAAATATTAACTAGGGAATGCCCTGGTAATAAAATCAAAGTATTTTCCCCTATTGAGTATCATGTTGAAACTCTACCTTTAACTGGTCCATGACATCAAGAGAATCGAGCCTGGAGTCACACAGATGCTGCAGAATCTCCGCTTTCTGTCGCAAACCCACTTCCCTGAACTGTTTATCCTCTAGAGGATTCTGTATCTTCAGTTGGATTGCCAATCCTTTCATGATGTCTTTCAGGTAGATTTCAAAGTTGTAGGGTCTATAATTTGAAAGAAACTTAAATAATAGGTATCAACATGAACTTTAAAAGATATCTTCAATATCCTGTTTTAAAAGAAAATTTACACAAGACCAAACGATGTTTTACTCTATAGCATTTTTAGGATTTTGGTCTCTTGCACCAACATCTCTGGTAAAAGCAGACTTTACCCGTCCCCATCCTGATTTTAAAACAAGAGGCCCATAAGGGCCTGTATTTCTCACCTGAATATGTTTAAAATAATTGGTATAAAGTAAAGATATAGCACTCCATGGTTAGGTGCTGTAAGTACCGTAAATTTGCGCGTATGGTGCACACTTTTTTTTGTTATATATTGTCATGTAAAAAAGGGGGTGCGCACTATATGCAGGAACAAGTCATTCTTGCGTTATCGTTCTCGAGGTTCTGGTCCGCCATATTGGATTACCTCCCTTCAAATAGTTTTATTTTGAATCGTTGGTCATATATGATAAGATATTGAAGATTAAAATAACAACAAAGAATGAAATTTTTTGGCAACACAATTTTCACCTTCTCTTAAATGATTAAAATCGGTAATCTGTGGTCATGACTGCTGATTTGGCGACAAACACTAACATTTTTACAGGTAAGTTGACCGGAGGGCATAGGCCTACCGTCTGATCCCGGACAAAAGGCTAGGTAGGATCGCCATGCTTCAGCGAAAATTATTGACACTTCTTAACACCACAGTTAATACAAATTACAATGCAGTAATTAGCTAACACTCTATCAGTGATTACCGATTAACAATAGCTCTACTGCAAATTAATTGAAATTACTTGCAGTCGCAATCGAAGCCCCACTGCACTGTTAGAACTACAGACTGATTTGACCGTAAACGGATTATAAAAAATATGTTTATACTAGAAGTGTGGACATTCAACACATGTCCTTCAAATCTTCCCGAAAGAAATAAATAAAAGCAGAATACCCTATTTGTATGATGATTCATAATATTGAAATAATTCACGAGGTTATCGATCACGTCAACATGAAAGTCGAGCCGGGAAAAAAATGCACACTAGTACTGTTAGGCCTAGCGATTTGGTAAAAACTAACATGGAACGGAGCCTATAATTGAAACATTACATTTTTGTAATTATGAGAAAACCACTGAGATGTCGAAACATAAGTTGATCGACGATTCTCTGGCATCTCTTTACTCTACGCTCTAGCTACACTTTCTTCGTTTGGTTTCTGCTTGATTCGTCCACCAAGCAGTACGGATGGAGGCCTTCATGGGCTTGTTGACTCCAATCAATCAATCGTTAATTAATCGGCGTTATAAACACCAAGCTACTTTTGATGCTACTTTTCCAGTTTGATACCGTTTATTTTTAGGATTTTTTTCCAAAATTTTTTTAAATTTTATTTTCATCATTTTTTTTACAAATCTGACCCCAAAAACATACCTGCACACTATACCCGCAAATTTACGGTTCATATGAAATTTCAGAAATATCCATCCAGTACTTGAGATATAGCAAGAACAAATTTCAAACAGAGCCCCACCCCTAGGTTGGTCATACCCACCAATTATACAAAATTGAATCCCCTTGGCCCAAGGTTGCTCCAGACTAAATAAGGAGAAATCCCTTTATCCTGATGGTCGAATAAGGACTTTCAAAGGTTTTACCTCTATTTCCCCCATTGGGCCCGCCTCTCTGCCTCCAGGGGGGTCAGACACACCGTTTATACAAAATTAGTTCCCCTTCACCTAAGGATGCTTCATACTAAATTTTGACAAAATCCTGTCATTCCTACAGAGGAAGGATTTTGAAGAATTTGCTATGTTCCCCTATTGGGCCCCTCCCTTCTGCCCCCAGGGGGCCACACTCGCTGTTTATACGAAATTGAGCCCCTTTTGCCCAAGGATGCTCCAGACTAAATAAGGGTAAAATCCCTTAATCCCTATGGTAGAAGAAGGATTATAAAGCCTCTATTTCCCCTATTGGGCCACACCCCTCAGGTCACAGCGGGGCCACACCCACCGTTTATACAAAATTGGTTCCTATATACCCAAGGATGCTCCACACCAAATATGGACCAAATCCTTTCATTCCTACAGAAGAAGAAGGATTTTAAAGAATAATTTGATATGTTTCCCTTATTGGGCCCCGCCCTTCAGTTGCCAGGGGGGCCAGATCCACTGTTTATACAAAATTGGTTCCCCTTCACCCAAGAATGCTTCTGACCAAATATGGACCAAATCCTTTCATTCCTACAGAAGAAGAAGGATTTTAAAGAATTTGCTATATTTCCCCTATTGGGCCCCACCCCTCAGCCCCCAAGTTTATACAAAATTGGTTCCCCTTCACACAAGGATGCTTCACACCAAATATGGAACAAATCCTTTCATTCCTACAGAAAAAGAAGGATTTTAAAGAATTTGCTATATTTCCCCTATTGGTCCCTATCCCTAAGCCCTCAGGGGGGGCACACCCACCGTTTATACAAAATTGAGTCCCCTTGGCCTAAGGGTGCTCCATACCAAATTTAGTCAAAATCTACTTAGCTGTTCAGGACTAGTAGCGTTATAAAGGAAAAGTTGACGGATGGACGACGGACGCTGCGGTATGGCATAAGCTCACCATGGTCCTGCGGACCAGGTGAGCTAAAAGAACAGAAATGACAACTTTCCTATACTTATTACTCTGTGAGTCACAATTTTCTACATCCCTTACCCACATCACTTGTATGTCCTAACAATTCCAGTATTTTTGCGCTATCACAAAGAGACAAATACACCAACATACACCAACTCCGACACACAAACATACATGTATGCGTACACAACACAGGTATAGGCATGTCCTTAAATTACCTTATCTATTGATAGGACATTAAACCTTTTACTATTTTGGATTAAGTACCTGTACCTTTGGGCCAAAAAAAGGGAAAATTTGGCAACATACATTTGATTATAAAATCGTAAAAAATAAAACTTTAAATATATTTTATGGAAACATTTGGTTTCTAAATAAATGGGTCTTCTTTTATTCTTCATATATATTTCCCAATGTCCTCTAAAGCACTTGCAAAGGAAAAACTGAGGTAATTTTTCCATCAGAGAAAGGGCAATTATTCAGCCATCAATGACATCTAGTAAAGTTGATGTCTATATAATTTCTGTAACTCACCTCTTGCACAGTCTTTCTTATGGTAATGTCTTAACACTATACACTGTACAACTTGTTGCCGTCCTATAGTTATCATACTTACTCAATATCATCCCTGCCATAACAACCTTGTAGGAGTCGACAGAACAGGTCCTCAAGAAAGGGACTGCCTTCCTCACTTGCAGCAGCAAGGAGACCATCTTCAAGGTCCTACATTTTAATAGACAATAGACAATATTTAAATATACACATACCATTTAAAATCATAATCGATAATCGGTTTGTAATCAAAAGTTAACCATTTAACGATCGATTGCATTTAATCGATTTATAACTTTACGTGACTGAATTTGAACACCCAAATGAAGTGATAACACTGATGTTACACCAATAAACAGAGTCGTAAACTATACGCTAGGTTTCATTCTTCTATAATGAGTGGATTTCATGCAGCGTTTATGCAGTATTGTCAATCATATAATATCATTTATTTTTGCCTTGTTTTACAGCCATATTCAGACTGCTTCCCCTAGCAAAATAGAGCTTTATTTTCCCATGATCCACAACTAATCATAATTTTAAGACAAAAACATTTAAGAAGAAATATGCACAACAAAAAATGTTTTTATGTTAAATCAGTTGTAGCACTGTTAAACTGTTAATAACTGTTACAAGAATCCCAAAGTGTGGAAATGCAATCGGTAGCAAAAAGGACTAGGTAATTTAAAGTTAATTGGCAACTCCTACCATCTTCTAAATCTAAAATCTCCTTGATACATCCATCTATTCTACACTCTTGGAAATATGTCATAACAAAATAGTAGGCTCCATACAGATGATACAAGTAGACTACTTAGATATACAACAAAAGAATCATTTATTCGCATGATGGTAAAATTGACGGCTTTGAAGTTGGTACCACTTTTATATGTAATTTTTAAAAGTACAAGTAGCAGCCTAGCAATTGGTCAGTTTTATGAACCAAACATATAGCAAACTGCCTTCAAATTTGTCTCGACATATTCCAAGGGTGAAGAGAAGACATGGTTTTGGATTTCGAAAGATGAACACACAAACACCAGTGATTGTATCTTTAAAATATGGTAATGAATACAGTATGCCTAAAATGAACAACACTGCATCATACAACAGTTTTGTGATTTAGATGGATTACTACAATAGCCTGTATGTCAAATCTGTATAACGTGGTGATAGATTTTGATAAGCATCTCAAAGACACCCTTTAAGATGCTTAAAGGGATTACATATCTTCTATTACAAGGGATTACATATCTTCTAGTATTCTATGTAAGGTTGCATAAAATACATAACATGTGTCTCACTGCAAACTAGCAAATAATCTAATGAAAACTCAGTGACTAGGTTTATTTACACATGGAAGCTGTTGACCAAAAGATTTATAAACATCATGTATTGTAAGAGCACAAACTGAGGCAATTACAGACTTCTTTTCTATTTTTTAATAATATATTATTTTAGAAACGATAACCCAGACCAAAGGTAACACTTAATTACAGTTAGGTACGGAAAGGTTAAGTTAATAGATCCGGTCAAGATAAGGCTGTGATTTGTAAACTATATCCTTAGAAGTATGAACATAATAAACAAAAAATAAAACCCCTCATAAATAAGAAATAAAGAAGGACAAAAAAGACACCTTCTAAGTGTACACAATCTAAAATGGGTTTAATTAAGGGGCATAGGACTTCAATAACACATATTGAAAAAAAATGTCTATTTTTACTTACACTGTCAAAATAACTCAGACAAGCTAAATTGAACTGTTATAATCATGTCATACACACTAAATGTGATTATATCAGCACCTAAAAGGTCACTACAGCTTGTACAATCAAAGGGGTATAACTCCCACTAGATGAAAGAATACTAGGTAATCCATCAATTGATAAATATCACAAGTATTTGTCTCAATTTCTGTTTTTCTCCAAATTTATTTCAATTATAACAATGACAGTTCCAAAATGGGTACACTGAAAATGTCAAGTTATATAAAAAATGTAACAATGTATACAATATTTAAACTGCGTAATATTACATACAGTTAAACAATAACAATGATTTCTAAGAAATATGATCTGAGATTTACTGCCTAACCAGTAATGTGCAAATGCACACACTGATATGAAATTTTAATGTTGTGCTTTAATAGCAAAATAAAAAAGATGAATAAATTAGCTGTGAACCAATATCTCTTCATTTCTTATATACAAATACATGCTTTACAAATATTATGTACTTTATGTAATATCAGCAGTGATCTTAATGACATTATGAAGTGTTTAGTACAACACACGTTTCAACTTGCTACTCGAAAACGTTAAAACATTAAATATCCACATTTTAATGATTATTGTCTGCCAATAAATGTACTGCACTGCACAACAATGACATTTTCATTTTGAGCCATTTGATCTTGCATTCTGGAACCATTACAGAGGAATATCGGTATAAATGAATTGTAGTGAATTGATAAAAAATAGTATTACCTCTATGTCGAAGTCTGGTAGCTGAAAAGCAGCTCGGAATAGCGAGCAGAAATGTGCGATGCTGGGAATCTCCCACCATGACCGTAGAGCTGCAAAAAAAAATATGACTTGTCAGATCACTGATTTCTATTAATTACGGATTCAAAGTACTCAAATTATCAGTCAAAATTAGGAATTTATGCTAAGTGAGCAAATATGCACAGTAATTAATAGGTGTATTATCATTTACCGTCCATTTGCATGCGTTGTTCCTGTCCCGATATCGAAAGCAGGGATACCGTTCAAACACTCGCCACTACGATCATGCCCGAAGCCGGTTACTTCCGGTACTCATGCCAATCACTCTGGTGGGTATATATTGAAATGAGCGTAGCTGGTTGTGTTGTTGTAACTACGATGATATATCTAAAGACATTTGAACATCAGATTAAGTTAGGCAAACTATATAATTTCAAAATATGATTTTAGATAAGCCGCAGCACTGCAGCGAGCTTGCTCCCGTCGGATGTCTTCGGTTTCAGACGGAATTCTGGGTAATCAATTAGGCAAAATGGCGGATGAAGAAAGATTGCAGACAACAGTGTTTTGGTGTGTTTATTTACAGCATATTGTCGTTCTAACAATGTGGTTTTATATTTTTAGAGTGTTTTGTGATATTTGTATTGTTGTAAGTCCAGAAAGAGCATGTTTATATCTACAATGATCAATGAACTCGCCCCTGTTGATTCCTCACGTAGACATCGGTGCACTGTTTGTCATGTTTGTATTGGGGTGGTGCACTCAATGCATCGATCTCCATGACAGATAATAAGCAGTACATAATAACTGACCAAAGAAAGAAATATATCTAAAATATTTTAAGGATTACTACATCAGTATGGCGGCTATCTACTTTCGAGAGCCTGCTATTGCTTTTGAAGATGCAGTCTTGCATCTTCTGTATCAGTTACCATTTTAGGATGGCACTGCAGGAATTCGATCTTTACTGTATCTTTTCATTATATTATAAAAACACAAATAGGCAATTATTGCTATCAGTGTTGTTGAGTCCTGCGTCGGGTGCACCAGCTAACCAAGCTGATTCTACCCTAGTACTATTAGTATTAACAGGTCGGGGGGAAACCACTAACTTGCATATAAGGTATTTGCATATAATATACGTAAACTCGCCTATTATATGCCAATAGCGGTATGGATTTGTTACTAAAAAATAGCCATAATCACTTTAATCTTAATTTTTTCACATTGTTTGTCCAAGTCGCATTTATTCAGTCATGAAATGTAATACAAATGCAAAAATAAAATTTATTTGCATGTGGGAAAGTACCAAAAACAGATGCAATACTTCCGGTAAAGTTTCATCAAGTTTCTAAGTAGCCAACGCTTTCAGTAAACATTATTTACCTTGTCGTAAATTAATGCAATTTTTAATAATATCTTGCAAAGGTTACGGTTAAAGCGATTTGGGTTATTTTTAGTAACAAATCCATACTCCGACTGGCGTGTAATAGGCGAGTTTGCGTATATATGCAAGTTGGTGGTATTAAATCGATCCCATGCCTTTAGCTTGTAATAGAGCAAGCCCTGTGTGAATCACACTGGGGCAATTTTAAAATTAATTGACAGCACAATGGTCCGCATCCATGAATAAGGTTGTAGCATGAACTATTTCTGTTGATATCCTGCACAACTTGTTAAGTTAAACTCTGCCTAAAATGTCGTTAAATTATCAAGGTAACGTAGCTGTGACTGAGTCAGTGATATTTAATTTAAGACAGGTTTTAAGAAAAAAAATACTACTTGCGTGGGTCAAATTTTGGGTTAAAAATCATGTTTTTTTGCATTTTTTGATGTGGTAACCAGAATTTTCATAAGTCCCAAATCTCGGGAAATCACTTTTTGAAAAAATATTCATTCTTCTAGTTTATAAATATATATATATATGTAGGTGTGTTGTGCAGGATGAATCTGCTATCCATGTTTATCCGAGACGTGCCCTTTATTTTTAGGGTCAAGCCATTTCTACTCTACTCTTCTACCTACGTCGTAGCGTGAGTAGATCCAGACCAATTCAAGCATATGTTGAATTTCGTCTGGCTTACCTCCTTCAACTAGGTAATCCTAGCAGATGACATAGGATGCCAGCCTCCATACTTTATCCAGGTTTTGCAAGGCGGGGGGAGGGGTCGTGGTTATAAGTAGTAGTTAAATATGCAGAAGTTCAAAATTTAGGTAGAAAAGGAAGCACAATATATTTCAGAATGTTTTATGTTTACAAGTAGACAGATGTGATTTAAGACTGTTCCATATAGTTCAAGGGGAGATGGATAAACTAAAATTATCACATTGATTTATGTAGGAACAGCTCTTACTTCACACAGTGTTCTCCCCGGCTGTTTTAGCGTAACAGTACTGTTACACATGAAATCCGTGATACAATGGCTTTTGAAACATGGATGAGGAGCGTTAATCATTTTGGCGCCAAATTTATAAATAGCACATGGTTTTCTCAGTTTGACAGTAACAATAAAATATTGCTTTTACTTATTTACTGGATAATTACAATAATTTAATTTGATAACTATATCACTTTTTAAGTTTATATTGAAAACAGCATTTTTGTGATAAGATTTAGTTCTCTTTTGTTCACAGGTGGCTAGGTCTGCTTAATTTCATAACTTAGGGAATTTTTTTAATTGAATTTTAAAAATAAATCATTAATTTCAAAATTCATGAATAATTTTCAAAATAAATACCTTTGGTTGGAATGCTAATTTTAATTGATTTATCCTCAGACTAAAATTATATTCATTTATTTCTATGATGATATTCTTGGGGAACAAATGCTGAAGTATTTGCTAAAAATTATCCATTTTCTTGAGCCAGACATTTTTTTTGTAGGCATTAAAACAAACAATGATAAAGGAAAAGGGCAAAACAATGAGCAATAATAATGCAATGTCAAGATTAGTAAGTAATGCTATTTATTTAGAATTAACTATATTTATTATTACTCTTGTTTGGTGTTTTCTTTTTCAAAGACGCATCGCTCATGATAGATTGGTTGCGACGAAGAAATGGTTCGCAGTGACACGCTGCGATGGAAGGGTTAAAAATAGATGCCATAGTGCATCAAAACTTTTCTCGGGAGAATACTGTCACACTCACATTTTCATTTCTAGATACAATTTGAAATCATGAAGTTGCAGTTAGCACCTCTTTCATTACTGGATTTCACTGACAGCCATTTTGTTTGCAGGTTAACATGACCTAACGTGAAGATGGACCCAAATCAATGGCGGAACTACAACCAGGCGTATGGTCACATCGGCCATAGCAGTGGGTTATCACCAACTGCAGCCAATCTTAACCGCTTTGATCTGCCACTCCTAAATGCAGATCCAACCCTTGGAACAGGTGAAAATACAAATATGTTAGGATTGACATCAAAATGCCCCATTTCTGTGTCTAAAAATCAAATTCTGTTTTACCAGGCTTTCAGTAGACTCTTTAAAGCATATTTTTGACTCCTTGGAATTGCAAGGATACATTTGTATTTAAATATATGTGACATACATATAGTCAGGGGTGCACCATACTCTTATCCGATGCCCAGCGCTGGAAGATTTTAGGTTTGCAATTGTGCAAATTTTCAATATTTACAATGAAATGATATTTCCGGCCTGAAGGCTTTTCCAAAAATCATTCTTAAATATTAAATTGTAAACCCCCAGTATTTGACTTTCTAAAGGTAAAGTGAAACAGTTATATTTATGATACCACAGTAGAACCTTGTTTTGTTGTTATACCTGTTTTTATGGAAACCTTAAAAAAACTTAATTACAAATCATAGGATGATGTTACAAATAATGTTGAAAATTATTTGAATTATAAGGCATCTAAATAAAGTTTTACTGTAATCTCCTTGCATATGACTTGAGGATGTTTACAAGTGTTTATACATTTAAATGTATTTGAGTGAAACAAATATGTACTAAATCTTCATTGTAAATTTGTTTTAGGGCTTGGACTTGCCCCGTCATTACAGTCACATCCATCAAGTATGTCTTCTGCCAGGTCTATGGGCGGACTTGGGGCATTGCCCTCCAACTACCCACTTCATAACACCATGTCTCCTTTTCTGGATGCAGTCAACCCTCTTCCTTCAGCCTTCCCAGCACAAAGTCCATATAAGAGCCTTGGCCAGTCATCATTTGGGATAGAAGCCTCATCTCTAAGATCCCCAGACCAGCCAAGTCTGTACGGATTCACTTCTGTCGCAGATGCAAGATCCCACTCAAAGTCAATCTATGCTCAGGACACACTGCTGTCAAAGGAACAACAGCTTAGTTATGGCATTTCCTCTTCTCTCAGTCCATTAAGTAGCATCGAAAAGTCATCAAAGTCGACCAGCTGGAATCTGTCAAACTTTGTGCCGAATCCTTCAAATCCTTTTGGAAATTTGAGTAATGAAGTTCCGTCCTCCCTGTCAGATTTGGTTGGACCTCCTCCTGCTCACAGTGGTAATACCTCAACTTCCAGGCACAGCACCATTCAGAGAAATCATTTCCCTTCAGACCTGTTTTCACACGTACCCTTGAACAACAAACCATCCCGTAGCTATTCCCTGGATAAGCCTGAGGACTTGTTGCTGGCCAGCCCTACACTGCAACTGTCACGGAGTGGACTCAGTGACTCCATCTTTACTTCACCAACCCACCATGGTATTGAAAATCTCACAAAACCTACCAGTCAGCATAACAGTATTTTTGGGTTCCCTCCCAACTCTTCTGCATTGAAATCAGAATTGTCATCAAATTATCAACAGCAATTGTCATCTGATATCAACTATGACCCGGTCAGTCCTCCAACTCCGCTATCTGATGGAGGCCAACAACAACAGAATGATATATACACCAATGTGGGGCTCCATGACATCAGCCCAATGAGTCACTCACAACATGGATTACTTCCACAGAAACAGAAAGAAAGACTAGTGCAAGATGCACATCAAGTGATAATGCATGCCCATTCGGGTAAATCAGGAAGTGTACAGAACATTCCTATGGAGCTGAATAAAAACCTAAACCAAATGTCAAACAGCCCAATGCAGCAGTCTCCCATCAGTGTTGGTGGGAGTCCACACATGTCTGTACCAATGAGCTCCCCCCAGACCCCCTTACCTAGCTCGACTGTGGTTCAGGCACCACCTCCAATACAGGCGGTGGCTGACTCTACCACAAAACCAAAGAGAGTGCGTTCCAGAAAGAAAAAAGTTTCCGTTGATCAAGAAAACGGACAAAAATATTCCCCAGAGGGTATGACCTCTCACATGGTAAACCAACATGGGGATATGATGGGTATGGCCCTGCCCATGTCTAATTCAGGTCATATGATGAGTATGGGGAGTCAGAGCTTTAACCAGACTAACCCCTACAGTCCCCAGAAGTCCCAGCCATATAGCCCTCACACACATCCCCAGTACAGCCCTAAGAAGACTCAGGCTGTGAGCCCCCAATCCTATAGCCCTCAGATCACCTCTCAGGCCATGGTAGACAAAGTTTACAACCACCAGCAATCTCCATCCATCGAGGAGCAATTCTCGATGCAACATTCAGCTAACCTATCATCACAAAACCAAATGTCCCTACCATCAAATTCAAACCACATGTCATTGATGTCAGACAGTGTGATTCACAATGGTGGACAGGGGTCGGTAATCCACAGTATGGCAGGAGAGTCAATACGGCAGTCCCTCCAGTCACAGGGGGCCACTCCAAGCCCACCGGAACAGCAAAGGGGCCACATGTCGGTAAACTCTTTGTCATTGTCAGATATAGCATCCACTCCACTAGCTGATGCAATAGTCGGAAATAACACTAATTATAACTACAACAGTGTGCCCGGGCAGTCTTTTGTGGAACAGTTGCAATCAGATTCAAACATTGACCATTTAAATAAGTCACCAATGAATGACCCAATGTCCATAGGTCAGTTAGATTTACAGGGTCAACAAGGAACATACGTCTCTCCACAGCAGCAGCAGCAGACTGGATACATACCATCTCAGCCCGGAGGCTATGTGTCGCAGCAACCCAACAGTATTTACACCGATTTGGATAATTATAACAACCAGTATGAAAACGCTCACAGTAGTCTCACCTCCCCATCATTGGGTTATGAAAACTCACCGCATCCAAATAACACATCAACCATAGACGAAGACGCACTGTCCAGTTTGATTGGAAATCCTACATTACGAGATACCTCTCCAATGAAGGAGCTATCGCCCGAGTACTGGAGACATCGGACAAAGGCAGAAGAAAAAGTTCTGCCTATGAGAACTGTGACTAGCCAAGTAGAGTTTGATGATGACTTTGCACATTTAACAAAACCACCTGATTGTGAAAAGAAAGACAAGAAACCAAATGTGAAACCATTATCAAATTCTCTCTCGGTGATAAATCCCTCCATGCATTCAGTTAACTCTACACCTGTACCAGTTCAAATAAAACCAGAGCAAAATATTGCTGCGAAAAAGTCAAACTCAAACAGCAGTTCCTTTATGGACTCATTCTTGAGTTTTATTCAGGGCAAAAAGCCTGAGACTTTGTCAAGTTTAAATACATCTAATGTTAAAAAGCCAGAGTTACCAAAATATATCCCTGAACCTCGGCGCCCACGCCCGGTTGAGTCCTCGGACAGTGCTGCCAGCACTCCCAGGCCTGACACCGACAACAAATCAGAATTCAGTTCAAACACAGGAATCAATTCACCGTCAACATCTCAAAATGATGACACTGTCAATTCGCAGCTTGCTTTCTCAGATGATGACGATGAAAGTGCTAACCTCACTAGTACTGTGGAAAATGTCCTGTCTCACCTGAATGAGGATGGGACCAGGAAGGAGGGTCTCAAAATGAGAATTAGCTTTTCAAAAATCACAGGAGGTGGGAAAAAACAGACAAGAAAATCTAGTGGAAAAGTGTTGTCTGGTTCACAGAGAGGAAAACAATCCAAACTCTTCAGTGATAATGACACCTTTGCTTCATCTGGAGATGAGGATTATACTGTGGGTTCTTCTGAGGAAGAGGCAGCAATGAGGGAAGAGAGAGAACCAACACCTCCACCCCCTGAACCGACCAGGCATGTTTCCTCCCGCAAGGCAAAGGACAAGGGACGCAGTAAGTTCATAAGGCCAAATAAAAAAAAATCTAGTGTTTCTGCTACCCTTACTTACCAAAGATTTTTGTGGCTACCCTAAAGTATGTATTGGCATTTAGTGATATGCACTGTTAAAGTCATAACGCCTGCTGTATATAAGCATAGTGAAAACATATTCCAAAATAAAAATAAATGTCTGCCTACCTACCCTATTTTTAGCTCACCTGGCCCAAAGGGCCAAGAGAGCTTATCCCATGGTGCAGCGTCCGTCGTCCAGTGTCCGTCAACTTTTCCCTTTAAAATGCTACTTGTCCTGAATGGCTCAGAGGATTTTGACCAAATTTGGTCAGGAGCATCATTGGCCAAAGGGTTCTCAGTTTTGTATAAACAGAGGGTATAACCCCCCTGGGGGCAGAGGGGCGGGGCCAAATGGGGGGAAAATAGGTAAATCTTTAAAAATCTTCTTCTTCTCAACCAATTGAAGGATTTTGACCAAATTTGTCCTAGAGCATCTTTGGACAAAGGAGACTCAAGTTTGTATAAACGGAGGGTGTGGCCTCTTTGGGGGCAGAGGGGCGGGGCCAAATAGGGGAAGTAGAGGATTTTTTCTCTCCTACTATACAAGTGAAGGGATTTAAACCAAATGCAGTCTGAAGCTTGGTCAGGAGCATCATTGGCCAAAGGGTTCTCAGTTTTGTATAAACGGAGGGTATGGTCCCCCTGGGGGCAGAGGGACGGGGCCAAATAGGGGAAAATAGGTAAATCTTTAAAAATCTTCTCCTCAACCAATTGAAGGATTTTGACCAAATTTGTCCTAGAGCATCTTTGGACAAAGGAGACTCAAGTTTGTATAAACGGAGGGTGTGGGCCTTCTGGCGGCATAGGAGCGGGGCCCAATAGGGGAAATAGAGGATTTTTTTTCTCCTACTATACAAGTGAAGGGATTTAAACCAAATGCAGTCTGAAGCATGCTTAGGGAGAAAAGAATCAATTTTGTTTAAACTGAGGTGTGTGGATTCCCCTTCTTTGGGGCAGATTAGTGGGGCCCATTAGGGGAAATAGAGGAAAACATTAAAGATCCTTCTCCTTCTGTACCGTTGAAGGGATTTTAACCTAACCAAACTTGTTTTAGAGAATCTTTGGGCAAAGGGAATTGAATATTTATAAATGGAAGATGCAACTTTGTTACTTGTACTCCTTTGATAAACCTGAATGGTACTCAGCAGGTTTTAAATTGAAAAATAAAATGCCAGGTGAGCTATTAAGGCCCCTGGGCCTCTTGTTTCTGAGAATGATAGCGGAAACACAAGTAATTGTTTTTTGGTTTTTGGGTATATGAAGCCATTCAGCTGAAGGAGAATACTGTATATCGGGTATTTCTCATGGCTATTTAATTTTTACTTTTTGTCATAAATCACACACTTATGTGATTGCATTGCTCCATTAGCATGGTAATATATATATATAAATTTGGACAGGGAAATTCATTTTAAGCAAATTTGTGAAAATACACATTCTTTGTAAATAGATAACAAATATACATCTTCACTAGTATTGTGCCAATACCCTCATCAAATTGAAGTGGAAATTTTAATTCTTGTACATATTTCTTTCTATTCAAATGCTTGAAAGAAGTACCAAAATGCATTGGATACAATATTAAATCTACATTGTACATGATCATGAGATGTTACAGAATTGTAATATTGTAATTTGCATAAAAGATTGGGGGGGGGGGGGGGGGGGGGGGGAAGAGACCATTGAAAGAGTTTTTGTTTTCAGTCATTGATTCATACTACATTACAGAAGTTTACAAAGACTCCAGTGATAGCGATATTTCCCTGGACCTCCCTGGTCCAATATCCAAAGGGACTGATAGTGATGTGGAGTACGACTCGGACAAGGACCCTGCCTGGACTCCATTTGCTGTGGTAACGCATAATTTTCAGAATTAGTGGGCCACAGGAAAAAATAATTTTGGGTGGTAGGGATTCAAAAAAGATCTCTTACACACCCACAAATCCTTTTTGCCTAATATATATACTGGATAAGATTTCATTCCCTCTTCAATTGTCAATATACTCGAAAATGTATTTTGTACCTGGTAATTAACAGGCTATACTGGGCTAAGAAACACTGAACTAATCAATGAAAAGCAATATAAAACAAATCATACTCTCATAAAATAAATAAAATATTAATAGCAATGTAAAGTATTAAATGAAAAATCAGTAAAATATTAGAATTTTACATTAAAAGGAGGCCATTGGGTATGAATATTCTGTTGAGAAAGAATCATGGTTTGTGTAGTTAATTTGTTTTGTATGAATTTGGAAGTTATGGTTGAAATGTTGATTTTAGTGATATTAAAAAAAAAAAATAAAAAAATCTGGTGCTACTTGTTGTATTTGTTTCTGAACAACTGAACATTTCTGATTGTCATTACAGGATAACAAGCGACAACCGACATTTGATGCTCTCGATTATCGGGGGGCGCCCGCTGTACCTAAGAAAGGGCGTCACAAAAGTGGAAAAGGAAGAGGGTATGATGACACACTCACATCTTCAATATGATCAAAACTAGTTGATAGTTTTTACAGGGAGCGTATAGTCCTACTTACTACTTTGTTATTTATGATCCCAAAATTATGAAGTTCTTGAAGGACAGCTTCAACTTCTGATGAGTTACTGTTAAGTACAATGGCTCTGTAATGGCACTTTGGTTTACTATTTAAAACTTTCTTAACCCATTCACCCCTAAAGTCACATTTGAACCTTACCAAATCAAAGATTGGGCAAGTCCAGTTTAAAAATATCGGGGTGAATGAGTTAACCAGTGTTTTTGTTACCTAAATTTTTCAACAGCCTGTTCCTTTATGAATTGGAAAAATATAGCATTATTGGTAATTTTGGGAAAATAATGTTCTTATTAGCAAGGGGAAGCAACCTGTATTTGGCAGTAAAACTGAGCAAAATAAAATCACTGTAAAAATAACAAAACAATAATTACAGAAACAATACTCTACAAGTATAAATTTAGATCGTAGAAAATGTTGAGTTTGTATGATAAAATTGACAGTACTATGAATTAGGCTTCATCAAGATAGTTTGGATTGAAGTACTAGATGATTTCTGATACAGTTTAGCAGAGATGTACACATTTTTACCCACACACCGATATTGAAAGTTTCTACCAGCCCAACCTTTATTTTCGTAGTAGATATTGAAAATGTTCGCTAGCCCTGACACAAACTCTACTGTTACTAGTTGGTATTAAGCAGGTGAAATTGTACATTCCTTCACTAATTATTATTCTCTGATCTACTATGAAATCAGATATTTTCGTGGGGCCCAATTTTGTGGTTTCCCGAAAAAACACCATATCTTGGATACATGAATTTGTAGATTATGAGTTCCTCCTCACAAGGGGAAATGCTTTATGTTGTAATTGCATCGTGGACATGTTGGAAAGTTACTTACAAAATCAACAAAATTAAAAACCCACGAAAAATTTGTGATTTCACAGTACATATAGGATTTAAGATAAATTGTGATAATACAAGGTTGCTATAAAGACAAACACCTAATTCAGATGTTCTTTAACTGCTGCAGGCGGGTGAAGATGGGTAGTAAGCGACTGAGTGAACGAGCTCCTACAGCAAGACCCTTCAAGATACAGAAGAGTAAAGACCAAAAAGAGACCAATAACACCAGTGTACCTGATGGTGTGTCTGAATCTGATACTATCCACAATCTAGAGCTTAAAAAAGAGGGCTACCAGGTAACTATTGTGTGTCTGAATCTGATACTATCCACAATCTAGAGCTTAAAAAAGAGGTCTACCAGGTAACTATCGTTGTCTAAATCTGATACTATCCACCATATAGAGCTTTAAAAAAGGGCTACCAGGTAACTATCGTGTGTCTGAATTTGATACTATCCACAATCTAGAGCTTAAAAAAGAGGTCTACCAGGTAACTATCGTTGTCTAAATTTGATACTATCCACCATATAGAGCTTTAAAAAAGGGCTAACAGGTAACTATTGTGTGTCTGAACCTGATACTATCCACCATTTAGAGCTTAAACCAGAGGCTAAAAAGAAGGCTAACAGGTAACTATCGTGTGTCTGAACCTGATACTATCCACCATTTAGAGCTTAAAAAAGAGGCTAAAAAGAAGGCTAACAGGTAACTATCGTGTGTCTGAACCTGATACTTTCCACCATTTAGAGCTTAAAAAAGACGGCTACCAGGTAACTATTGTGCGTCTGAACCCGATACTATCCATCGTCTAGAGCTTAAACCAGTAACCCACCATATACAGCTGTCACATTACAATGTGCCACCATTCAATTATTTTTCATACATTTTAAATAAAAATTGATATAGAAGCTTTCAACACTTTAATTTCAAATTTAACTCAAGATTTTAAAGTCCTGGCCTCTTGTGACATCATTTCTTTATAATAATGGATTTTGATTGAACTTTATTCATAGGCCATTATTTCAGGTTGCCAAGATCAGTACAACTATTTATATTTAAAGAAAATTGTTTAACAATGAAGCTTATTTTAAATGGGTGAGGCCATTTTATGTCTTTCCAATTATTTTTTTATTCAATTATTCATGGTGTCAGAAGGGGAGTAATGAATCCTATAGCAGTTATGGAGAAAATATGAATTTACAATAATCGGTTTTCTTTTGTCAAAACATTTTATGTGATGTTTATGTGTAATTTATTTTTACAGATGGGAGATTTTATTTTAGATAAGAAAGACCTCAACAAATTTGAAAACTTTCCTATTTGGAGGATAGAGTCTGGGAAATTAATCCGTAAATATGAGTTAATCACGGAAGAGGGGCAAATGCGACACAGAGCCATGTGCACCGTAAGTTTTTAAAAGAATTTTAAGCTTTAAAAGATATTGATAATGATGTATTTGATGGTTAAGGTAATAGGATTGTGTCACCATTTCTCAGTAGAATTTCTTAAAATTTTGTAGTTATATTGCTCTGAAATTAAGAAAATTTTCTGCCACAAAAAAAATATAGGTTGTCATAATTTCAAGGAATTTAAATTTATGTAAAAAGGAGTGACTTTTGAAATAAGATTGAAAAACACAATTCTTTGCAAAATAATGTCAATAAAAATGATATTGCCATAGATTAGTATTGCATTAATGTATATCAATTTAATAAATGCTGAAATTGTGTCAAATAAATTATCTATAAACGATTAAAAATTGACATTTTATAATAAAACCATATGCACATAGTAATTGCAGGTAAGAGTTATCTTTCTTGAAAAACTTCACAGTAGTGAAATAGGTAGCCGGTTTCCTTAAGTATAGAAAAAAATGGATACATGTGGCTCATTGATAAAAAAAACTGTAATAATGCCTGCATTGCTTTGAAAGACTTTAATACTGAGAGAAAACACTGTTCTGTCAATAATAAACATACAATATTCATCAGTTTAATATTAAACATTAGAATACGCGGAAATTGTGATACTGTCTCCCTACATTGGATTTTCAACTAGAGATGTACTTCCTACTTCCGTTTATCAATACACTCGTATGACCTTAATCAATTTTTCTTCACTGCAATAATTTTTGTCAAATTGATGATAAAAAAATATTATGTGTTACAAATTCTTGAAGAATACCAGTTACATCATCTAGTGTTTTATAGAATACTTGGTGTTTTAGAAGTACAAGTGAAAAATATAACAAGTATTAATTTCTTACGTTGAAATATCATGTGTATTTGTAAAGAAATAAGAAATGTTTTGAGTCATTGCAATGCAAATAGGCACAGTTGTTATGGAATTGACCGAATATTTCACCAAATGTGGATTAGAACAATTTGCATTGGAATATTTGATAACATCCTCCCAATCAATGTTATTTTCACAATGAACTAATTATAATGCAGTAAACACGAGAGAACAAAATGTTTTTTCATCGTAACTACTCAGTATTTTGCAAGACAAAAAAAGTTTAGGGTAAAATCTGACAGGCATATAGCAAGCCTCTAACATTTTATGGTTAAAAAGCCATTTTAGGAGGCCACATACTCCCATATGTAGGTAAACTGAAACCCTGCCACTGACATATTTTTCAAATAAATATAACTACAGGCATTCAGTTAATAAAAAAAAATTGGGAGTGTATAAAAGAGACTTCAAAAAAATGCTGCACACCTTGCTCGGAACCTGTTTTGTATTGATCCTAGGCTGCAGTGCAAAACTTTCCCTGATTAGAGAAAAAATCTTTCTTCTTGCTAAAACCACAATTCTCCTCTAAGAAAAATGATTCAAGGTCATTTCTCGTGTTTTCCAGTTTTCCAGTTGGGTACCCATTATGCAAAAGGATTACCTATCTATCAGAACCAAATATGTGGGGACAAACAATGATAAGGAGGTTGTGGAAGTGTTTGAGGCGGACAGACCAACACCCAAATTGGACAGCTAGTAAGTGAATGATTTCATAGTAAAGTTATACGCTTAAGCTTTTGGTGAAACCTGATATTCAACATTACCCAGACCGGTTTTTAACATGTGTCACTCAGTACAGATTGTTTTCACATTTGTGTTGCCTTTCTTTTTTAGTTTAGAGCATGCATATGAAGAGGATCCCCTGGCTGACCTCTTTAACGTTTACCTCCAGATATTTCTCAGCCAAGCTCTTGAACCAGGATTTCTCAGTGCAATTGGGGAAGGGGAAGGTTTGTACAAGTTGTCTCAATAAGAGACTTTTTTTACACTGTGGTACCTATTATTTTCCAGAATGGTGTGTGGTGGAGCACACTTATTTTTGTATCATGTTGCGGCAGTAAGAAGCAGTGTTTTAAAGTCAATTCAGTCTTTAATTAAGTAAATTGTAAAAAACATTATCATTAGAAATATTTATTAATCAATATAACAGCATTACAAAATCTATTTTCATTTTGTTTCCTTGATAGTGTTAATTTGATACATTGCTATATATAATTTGATTTCACAACAGTACCGCTATACAAAATCTGCTTCAAGAGGACACTGTATAATGTATTGCTGCAATACTAGGATCTGATGCATGCATGCTTTTGAAACAATGATTCTTTGATAAAGAAGAACCTAAAAAAATAAGGTATAAATATCCTGCTTGAGGTGTTGACTGATTGTGAAATGTTTTAACTTATCTTTTGATTTATGGTATTGAATCCTGCAGAAAAATGTGCAATGTCACCAACAAGATGTTATTATTTCAGAGAATTTTTATATGGGGCCATTACAAAGTATTGACAAAATTATTGAGAAGAAACTTGACGAGATGGAAGAGAAAGTATTATGGAAAGTCACCTTTAAGGTCAGTGATGAGTTCTATGGAGAAATTACTGTAAACTACTTTTATCCATGAAAGATATACAATCTTTTTCATTCTGATATATATCAAACACTTTGTTACATACATGAGATTTACACTTGCTGTTGTTTATTTCACTTATTAAATTCTCATTAACATTGGATGAACATGAGTAACAACAGCTTTAGCATTAATGTGAGTTTCTTACAAGGTAAAGTTAAAGGAACTGCTCCTACTAAGATAGTTACGTTAATTTGATGCATTTTGTCAAGTGTCTCTCCTTAAATAATTTCCCAGAATGCCTTGAGGGCGAAGCCTCACATCAGAGAGTTGGATCGACCAAATCTGAAACTGTTTTGTCAGGTAAGTGGAGGTGATTTAATACTGATAATACATTTGTTTATTGTGTCTTCCATAACATAAACACAGTTGCTTAACAAAACATGTGGAATTAATGGGATGTGATAAAGTGTCCTGTAAAGAAATTACCATTAGTTTAGTATGCATATATTTATGACATTCCGCTCATTTATATCCTGCTATAATGTATTGTTCATAATTTTATTGGGGGATTAACTCGCTATATTTGCAGTCACCAAAGGTAGCACAAAATTAAATACTCAGCGAATATTAATCCAAGGAATATGTAGAGATAATAGAACAGATCTGTACAACTTTTCATTCCCGAAAAATTAAAAACACCAATTAAATATTGTATTTCACGTTATTTTGATTGAACAGTTGTATTGCATGCATCCATGCAAGATGAAAGAATTTTACACTTTTTGTCAATTCCAGGCTTGTGAAAATGCTAGTCAACCTGCTATCAAGTCGATCCATTTGTTTGGTCAGTCGTACGACCACTTCACTTTGGACGAGAACACCAGCAGTGCTACAGAGGGAGGAAGTCTGGTATGTCACATATGGTTTAATTAAAAAAAATATATCTTGAAACTGACCGAAAAAATCTGGTACATAGTTGGAGGCGGAGCTAGTGTTTTGAGAGGTTCTTGAAGACAAAATTTTATGGGTAACTCAGTTGCTTGGATTTACACTGGACACAAGTTAACAAAGTATTGGCACTAATATTGGAAAGTGAAATAGATTTAATATACTGTAAGTCACATTATTTTTGCTTGGAGACTCAAAAGAGAAATTTGTCTTCTGCAAAGATTGTTACTATCAACGTAGAAATGAAATAATCTCAATTGCATATTTAAGTATATGTGAACAAATCCTGAAGACAGAACTCTCTAAACAAATAAAGCACATGTGAAAATAAAATGATTAAATGGTAGCTATAGAGTAATACTTTGACTGTAGGCCAATAAAGCATTATTATCAATCATTTATTTCCATGTGTACATTATTCCATGGACTATACCTTTAGGTTTTACTCACCAATACTTGAATTTGTTAGTAAGAGGTTGTTATTTTGATATTGATAGCAATTATTTATGACATTAATATTTGCAGAAGATATTTAGTTTGTAGTTGAGTCTCTTCACCAATTAAAGTGAAAATAAATCTCTTGTAAAAATTCAGGATTTTCAGTACGTCACTGCAGTTATAGGTTTACCCTAACCTCCATGGTTTAAAGTAACAATCATGGAACCACAAATATTAATACAACAAAACTTTGCACAAAATCCTTTATTTGCTGTAGGCTGCTTATATGACTTAAATAATTTATATCTCCAAGTTTGTCATGTATTAGATAAGGCCACTACAATCATTCAAACTTACAATGTTTTCCAGGAATTTATGATTGGAAAGACGGCAGCTAGTTACGTTGGACCCTATCACAGTCTCTACCACTTCAAATACAACCTGTATAAACGGTGCTTAGCAAAGGTAGGTACGACATTGTATAAACAGTCCTTAGCTAAGCTAGGTACAGTGTTGTATAAACAGCGCTTAGCTAAGGTAGGTACGACGTTGTATAAACAGTGCTTAGCTAAGGTAGGTACGACGTTGTATAAACTGTGCTTAGCAAAGGTAGGTACGACATTGTATAAACGGAACTTAGCTAAGGTAGGTACGACGTTGTATAAACAGTGCTTAGCAAAGGTAGGTACGACGTTGTATAAACTGTGCTTAGCTAAGCTAGGTACGACGTTGTATAAACAGTGCTTAGCTAAGGTAGGTACGACGTTGTATAAACAGTGCTTAGCTAAGCTAGGTACGACGTTGTATAAACTGTGCTTAGCTAAGCTAGGTACGACGTTGTATAAACAGTCCTTAGCGAAGGTAGGTACGACGTTGTATAAACTGTGCTTAGCTAAGCTTGGTACGACGTTGTATAAACAGTCCTTAGCAAAGCTAGGTACAAAGTTCTATAAACTGGGCTTAGCTAAGGTAGGTACAAAGTTGTATAAACTGTGCTTAGCTAAGGTAGGTACAAAGGTGTATAAACAGTGCTTAGCAAAGGTAGGGACGACGTTGTATAAACAGTGCTTAGCAAAGGGAGGTACAAAGTTGTATAAACTGTGCTGAGCTAAGGTAGGTACAAAGTTGTATGAACAGTCCTTAGCAAAGGTAGGCACAAAGTTGTATAAACAGTCCTTAGCAAAGATAGGTACGACGTTGTATAAACAGTCCTCAGCAAAGGTAGGTACGACGTTGTATCAACAGTCCTTAGCAAAGGTAGGTACAAAGGTGTATAAACTGGGCTTAGCTAAGGTAGGTACAAAGTTGTATAAAATGTGCTTAGCTAAGGTAGGTACGACGTTGTATCAACAGTCCTTAGCAAAGGTAGGTACGACGTTGTATCAACAGTCCTTAGCAAAGGTAGGTACAAAGGTGTATAAACAGTGCTTAGCAAAGGTAGGAACAAAGTTGTATAAACTGTGCTTAGCTAAGGTAGGTAAAAAGTTGTATGAACAGTCCTTAGCAAAGGGAGGTACAAAGTTGTATAAACAGTGCATAGCAAAGGTAGGTACAAAGTTGTATAAAATGTGCTTAGCTAAGGTAGGTACGACGTTGTATAAACAGGGCTTAGCTAAGCTAGGTACGACGTTGTATAAAATGTGCTTAGCTAAGGTAGGTACGACGTTGTATCAACAGTCCTTAGCAAAGGTAGGTACAAAGTTGTATAAAATGTGCTTAGCTAAGGTAGGTACGACGTTGTATCAACAGTCCTTAGCAAAGGTAGGTACAAAGTTGTATGAACAGTCCTTAGCAAAGGGAGGTACAAAGTTGTATAAACAGTGCTTAGCAAAGGTAGGGACGACGTTGTATAAACAGTGCTTAGCAAAGGGAGGTACAAAGTTGTATAAACTGTGCTGAGCTAAGGTAGGTACAAAGTTGTATGAACAGTCCTTAGCAAAGGGAGGTACAAAGTTGTATAAACAGTGCTTAGCAAATGTAGGTACGACGTTGTATAAACTGTGCTTAGCTAAGCTTGGTACGACGTTGTATAAACAGTCCTCAGCAAAGGTAGGTACGACGTTGTATCAACAGTCCTTAGCAAAGGTAGGTACGAGGTTGTATAAACAGTGCTTAGCTAAGCTAGGTACAGTGTTTTATAAACAGCGCTTAGCTAAGGTAGGTACGACACAGCGCTTAGCTAAGGTAGGTACGACACAGCGCTTAGCTAAGGTAGGTACGACACAGCGCTTAGCTAAGGTAGGTACGACACAGCGCTTAGCTAAGGTAGGTACGACGTCGTATAAACAGTCCTTAGCTAAGCTAGGTACAGTGTTGTATAAACAGCGCTTAGCTAAGGTAGGTACGACGTCGTATAAACAGTCCTTAGCTAAGCTAGGTACAGTGTTGTATAAACAGCGCTTAGCTAAGGTAGGTATGACGTTGTATAAACAGTCCTTAGCAAAGATAGGTACGACGTTGTATAAACAGTCCTTATCAAAGGTAGGGACAAAGTTGTATAAACAGTGCGTAGCAAAGGTAGGTACAAAGTTGTATAAACTGTGCTTTGTATAAACAGCGCTTAGCTAAGGTAGGTATGACGTTGTATAAACAGTCCTTAGCAAAGCTAGGTACAAAGTTCTATAAACTGGGCTTAGCTAAGGTAGGTACAAAGTTGTATAAACGGTGCTTAGCTAAGCTAGGTACAGTGTTGTATAAACAGTCCTTAGCAAAGGGAGGTACAAAGTTGTATAAACAGTGCATAGCAAAGGTAGGTACAAAGTTGTATGAACAGTCCTTAGCAAAGGTAGGTACAAAGTTGTATAAACAGTCCTTAGCTAAGGTAGGTATGGAGTTATATAAACAGTCCTTAGCTAAGGTAGGTACGTACAAAGTTGTTTAAAAAGTCCTTAGCTAAGGTAGGTACGTACAAAGTTGTTTAAATAGTCCTTAGCTACGGTAGATACAAAGTTGTTTAAACATTCTTAGCTAAGGTTGGTATAAAGTTGTTTAACAGTCCTTAGCTAAGGTAGGTACAGAGTTGTATAAACAGTCCTTAGCTAAGGTAGGTACGTACAAAGTTGTTTAAAAAGTCCTTAGCTAAGGTAGGTACGATGTTGAATATATGTTTTAAAAGAAAGAGTTATGTATGTTACTTCAGTACCTTTGTACAAAGTTTTATAACAACTTTTAGCAAAGACAGATACATGAAGTTTTATAAACTCTTAGGTTTCAGTTTAAATATGTTTTAACAGTTATATGATTTTTACAGAAGTACTTAAGAAATCTGCAAAGCTGATCTGTATACGAAATATTTGTTTCTCTTTCCACAGGTGGATATTGTCAGGCAAAGTGACCATGAACTTGACAATGCTGAGGTGTTAGACAGATGTCTTAACAACAGAACCTGGGTACTCAAGGTAGGTAATCCATGTCCATTGGGGTAAATTACAAGGAAAGACTATTTCTTCAGTATGGTTGGACCATTTCAGCCTTAAATAGAATAAAGAATCCCTCGAACAAAGCATGCAACATTTTATGAATAAAGTGTGTGGCCTGCAGGGACAAAATAACGGGCTATGATTCTAAACTCCTTCGTTTGTTGTTGTTTCAGAAATTGACTATTTTTGTGTTGTTCATTGAACCTTTCTGTGCTTACAGATCTTTGACGACCTGAAGAATATGTTAGACAAAGGATGAACGGCCGGCACTGCCTGAGCATGGAGTGAATGTTGTGTGTATGGTTGTACAGGGATGTGATTGCTGTGTGGAACACAAGTCCTCGCCATAAAAGATGTTCAGGACAAATCTTTGGACTGGTCAGTCACTCCCCCCGGCCTGGAGAAGCATCATGTCATATCTTCATTCACTGGTCAGCCTTTTCAAGTCGGTAAAATGACTTGATACACAGGGCGCGACAGCCTTAGTTAAGCTTTAGTCATGTCTTTGTCATAGGTTTGTTACCAGTCGATGGAAACGAAAAATAGGGGATGAGGCAAATTTATATATGTCTTTATATCTGGCACAGAAGTTGTGCATCTAGTGATTGCTTTGTCAAAACAATGAAGAATTACATTCAAGTTGTTTGTCAAAATGTGATGATGAAAATGAAGTCTAATTGTGTCATATAGAAAAGTGATCTACATGCGTAACAAGCCAAAACTGGAGAGAAACTGAAGGACAGCATTGAAGTGGTATCTTGTTATACTTGATCATTGCCCTACTGACATACCTTTAGTATGGGTTGTGTCATAGCTTGTTGTTGTCTGAGGAGACAAATGTTTTCATATATTTTATACTTGCATTGTAAAAGCTTACCCTACTGTTGCACCCTGTTTTCTCTGTTTGGTAAGACTGTCACATAAGAAATTTAACTGGAAATCTGGTCATGTGAATACCAGATTTTGTGATATGCCTAAAAATAACATTCATAAGAATGTGAATTCCTGACTAGAGCAGTTATAATTATAGCAATTATAGCATTTTCATGTCAGCGGTCGATAAACATCCTCGGTTGATATTATTTCCTATTTGGTCCTATAACACCATGTATCAGCAGGCATTAAAATACTAAGATTGTTTTATTGTTGTAATTGATTTTTAAGATGTCATTAATTACAGAAATAGAAATAATATTGACTTTAACAATAGTGTTTACTGAGTAACCAAGATGCTTTTTTCACCAGAATCTATTTTAAAACCGTAGGTTTCATCCGAGATCTTTATCTGTGCAATCCTTTGTAATCTATAACCAAGATGACAACTGGTTTTATCTGTGATGAAATCGTATTGTTTTAGTCAATGCGAAACTAATTAAAATCAATTACGATATTAGGAATGGTTTTACATCCATTGTTTTCATGCGTTTCAACATTAGATATTGATCAGTTTTCTTGAGAATTGTATCTTAAGAAATATACTCAACAGACCATATTTAGTGTGGGGTTCTGAACTATTTTTGTCACATGTAATTTGGTACACACAAGACAGCTTTAACCAGGAACCTGACTTAACATTCATAGAGCAATAACCTTTTTGGTCCAGTATGTTTATACTATACAGTGCTTTTATTTCCTATACTTATTATTTTCACTTTACTGCTGTTATTTTTTTCTAAGCTAAAATCAACACTTCATAAATTTGCATTTACCACATGGACGCAGAAATTACAACAAAAGGTTTTAATGCCTAAAAATGAATTCACAAATGACAATTAACCCTTTTACCACTGTGAACCATATTGTACTCATCCAGATCAATGCATGGTAGAGTCTACTAAAATTTAACAGTAGTTAATTTTTAAAATATACATACCTCAGTCAAATGTCTCAATTAACAGCTATAATCACTTCTGCATGTTAATTTGTCAGTTAAAACAACAATGAGTGAAAAAGCAATTTCCTTTCAGTTTTTAAAGACTGCCTTAAGTGCTATTATATTACAAAGCTTTAAATATTTTACATTTTTGCACCCAGTACAATCAAATTGATTTTTGGTAGACCAGTGATAACAAGAATTATCCAAACCTTATAATATGAAATAGCTGCTACTTAGGTTTGAATGATTGAGGAGCTTCTTCTTTATTAGTTTCACCTGACCAGTGTAAACGTTTACAAACCAATTCATTCAAGTATTCTGCACTTTATGGGATATTGTATGATTCAGAAAACAAATTTTATCTAGCAATAAAAAAAAGTCACCTTCACCATGCATAACAAAACAGGACATTTTATTGAAATCCTTTGTTTCTACATTGAAATGATTTAGTTTTTTCCTCAGACTGATGAGAATTGAAAATTTCAAAATTTAATAAAGAACCCTCCATGGCTTAATATGTTCATGCACTGTTTCCCCTTTTAGGACTGTTCCAGGATTGAATATATTTGAGGTATGAGAGGTAATGTTTCATTATCACTATTTATCCTTAATTTAAAAGGAAAATATTGAATTGCTGCAAAGCAAATGTATTTGATCTATAGATTCTTTTAGTTTTGCTTGGGACATTATAGCAATAGGATTGCTTGGTACTCATCAAATTTTTGATAACTTGATCGGAATTCTACAGAAGTCTCTCGGAAGCATTTCAACAAAGGATGCCTCTTTGGAATGTTAACTCATTCACCTCTAAAAAATTTATAATGAACTATTCCATCCTTTGAATTGGAAGAGTTCAAATGTGTCTTCAGAGGTGGATGGGTTAATATGCAAAACACCTCAATAGCATCCTGATACAAGTCCACACCATAGGATTTGGTTACAGAAGTACAAAAATTGATTACAGGTTTAACTGCTGTCATACAAAGCTCAAAGTTGTTACTAGAAATTTGCAAGGTCCGTAATTAAGTCTGTG